TGAAAGTAAGAAAATCAAAGATTAAATATCCAGGAGAGGTACAGTATAAAGAGAGTGCCACCTGACACAGACATTCTGTGCACATGTCAAATCTCATGCTGTGACCCAGGTGGGGAGGGTCCACAGTGTCCCTGTTGCAGCCTGGATGACTAAAGCATGAAGGTACTGACTGGTTCCAGGGAAAGAAATCAGTTACAGGAATATTTGAACAAATAACTTCAGCGTGGAGAATTATAACAAAGATTGAACTTCCAGTAGGATGACCCTGCAACCCGATATGTCGGGGAGTGAAGTCCTTTCCAAGGCCTGGCATGTTCAGGGCTGCAGCGGGGAGAGTTCTTGTATCCCGGGCTAAGGAGGTCACTGCACCAGGTCTTATAACACCTAAGCCCAACTTCGTTCAACAGTCAGAGAATTCCTGGCCTGATAGTTATGTGTATTTGTACTTAGTGATTCCTTGTATCTGGGATTACAGCTGGAAATGAGTTAAATCTTCATGAAAATCCCATACTTTGAGGATCCATGAGGAATGGGGGCACATCCAACAGGCATCTTGAAGAACCAAAGAGCCATTTGGAAAGATCCCATGTGATGGGATGGCAGCTCCCGTGCAGGGCGCTTCCAGGAGACTCCTTCAGGTACTGAGTTGGGGGCAATTCTGAGAGCACAGGATCTCAAGTTTCCATCTCAAAACTTCCTTGCTTATGGGAAATATTAGGAGCACAACAGGAAAGAAAAGAAAGAAAGAAGAAAGGAAAAGAAAATCTCCTTTATTCTTATTCCCACTTCCTTTGTGGAGAACCGAACCCAGGTGGATCTTCCAGGCGTGGAGGCCACGGGATTTAAAGTGGGGACTTCCCAGGGGACTGTGGGAAACCTGCCCAACAGGCAGAGCGGGGGCCTCCCCTGGCTGTTACAATGAAGGGTTTCAAATGAGAGGCCTTCTGGATCCACAATACAAAGCAAGGACAATAAACCAGAGAGAGGTTCTTTTGGGATTTCATGTGAGAGAGGAGAAGCCCTGAAAACAACAAAAGTGCATCCTCAAAGCTTTGGGGAGGAGAGAGGAGCAGACGGAGAATGAATTCTCCAGGCCATGGTGCCTGAGACCCCTGCACAGGGTTGAGAAGCATCTTCAGAGCAACAGGGAGCCTGTGAGCACAGGGCAGCTTTTGGTCTCACTTCCCCATGAACTTGAGTCACTGTGCACAGTGTTAGGACTCCTATATGAGCAACAATAATAATCGGCCTCGTCGTCAGCCTGGAGCCCAGAGATGGTCAGGGTGGCCGTGTTGCCAGACTTGGAGCCAGAGAAGCGCTCAGGGATTCCTGAGGGCCGTCTATTTACATCATAAATCAGGAGTTTAGGGGCTGTGCCTGGGCGCTGTTGGTACCAGGATACGCGGTTATATCCCCCAATGTCATTGCTGCTTCCAGCACAGGAGATGGTGACCGACTTTCCAAGTGAGTCAGACACGGAGGAAGGCTGAGTCAGGGGAGACTGGGCCCAGGACCCTGAAAGAGCAAAAACACACTCTGGTGAGTTCAGTGCTGGGCCCCGGGTGAGCCTGAGGGGGAGGCAAAGGATCAGCCCAGGCGCCCCATTTCCCTTCCCTGGAGGCCTCACCTGAGCCCTGAGTGAGGAGCGTGAGGAGGAGCAGAGCCCAGGCCATAGCAGAGATGCCCCAAGAGTGCTGCCTTCTGAGACCCCAACCCTGAGCCTGGCTCCCCCAGGCCTCTCTTATCCCCACCCCTGCCTCAGGGGTGGGCGTGGCCTCCATGCAAATCTGCTTCCTGCACCTGCCTCTCCTCACCCCACCCTGACCTGGCCCTTGACCTCCCTGCTTCTGCACCACACACAGCAGAGCTCACCTGAGAGAATGACAATTGTTTGACAGGAGTCTCACTCAGGACACGCTGAGACCCTTCATAGGTGCCTAGGAGCTGGAGCCAACCCTGGGTGTCCCTGTGCTCCTATTGTGGGAATCAAGGTGGTCCTCTGCTGAGGAATACAGGGACTTCCCCTCCGAGATGCTGGACGAGGCTGAGGACAGGGTCTGAGCTTAGCTAGAAAAACCCGAGTGCCCCGTCCCCCAGGGCCCCAGGCAAAGCTGGAGCTTCTCACTGCTTATCAACCTCTTCTCCTTGCTCAACAGGTGAAATGAAGGATCACGTATCCCTTTCCCGATCTCTACAGAGTCTGAGGCTCAGCAACATTTATTGCCACATCTAGAAGCAGAGATATTGGGATGCAACAGCTACAGGGCATCGCCCTCCCTCAACGACCCCCTCAGGAGAATCTCATGGGAAACACCTTTAAGGCTTCATACAGGTCAGGGTCAACCACAGCAAGTACCTTCCCCAACTTCAGACAACGCTGCCCCCTGGTGGCCTCAGGTGATTCAACCCCAGAAGGCATCTCGGTGGGAATGGGAAAATCAGCTCTGATCTCTTGTCCTTGCCTTTGTCACTGCCATCCAGCTCAGTACCGGGTCCCTAGGTATCTCTTACATCCACCTGAGCTCATTGATCTTTGTATCCCTCTTTGTTTAAAATGGAGTGTCACCTGCCACTCAGGTAATCCAGACCCTCCCCTTAGGACCACATGCTTGTCCCTAAGCAGCCTTGTCACAGGGTTAGTGCTCCTGAGGCACTTCTTGGCCCTCTAATGAGGAAACATTAGATGTGCTATGAAATCAATTCCAGAAGTAAAAATGGGATCAAGGGAAGACAGAGTGACTTCCCACAATGTTGAAAGTCACTGTTCCCATGCAGGAGCGAGAATTCAGGAGAACTGATTACCACGGAGTAGAGACCAGCAGGAAGCGGGGTTCTTGTGTTTCAGATTCTGGGAGATGACAAGTCAGGATGGGCAAAGCGTCCAGCTCCAGGACTTGTCCTCAGACTGTGCCCAGCTGTCACAAGGGAAGCACAATATTCTTCATTGTGCCCCCTACATAGTCCATTGAGATGACCTCGCCTCAGAGCTACATGACTTCTTGAGGCAAAATCTGCTTCATCCACAGAGAGATGCTCGGCCTGGTATATTTTTCTGGAAAGAGTTGGGCTTGGAGATCAGACAAATCAGGACTGATAGAACCTGGCCAGATAGAAATGGAAATGTCCTCATGAAATGACTGGAAGATCTATGGTTCACAATGCTCTGAGCAAACGACTTTAGAGTCGTCCTCATACCACACACAGCACAGACATTCTGAAGATCAAAGAGGGGTGACACCCTGGTCAAGGGAGGGCAGAGATTAATGGCAGCCTGGGGACTGGGGAGAGGAAATGGGATGTGGGAGGAGGTGACGATTTTCTATTTGATACAGTTGTTTCAGGGCAGGTGCTCTGAGCATTTATGTGCTCCTCTCCTGTCAGTTAGATAATAACGTGTTCAGTGTGACGTCACAGTGCAATGGCAGTAATCAATGACCTGTTCAGAAGGGCATCACCTGGACCTGTGGATCAAGCAGACTGGACCCTTGTCTCCTGGAAAACCATGAAGAGGGCCCCTGGGCCCATAGCATTGACCTCATCCTTCCTGCAAGAAGCCAACCTCTGATCTGCTCTGGCTTCCACTTTTCCTCGTTCCGTGTTCTGTTAGTAGCAAGAACAACTCAGAGCCCCTCTGCTGCAGGGTCCCCATTCCCATTCAAAATCCTTCTGTATATGTGTGCCCACGTGAGAAGGCGTGACGTAGAAATACTAAGCAAGGAGGCCACCAGAGTCAGCAAAATGACAACTTGCAACTACAATTAATTACCAAAATAGCCAAGCAAATAAATGAAAATACACAAATATTTATTCCCAGGTCCATGCTTTTAGGTCAAAATGAATATAATGATTCCTTTAAAAAATTGCAAGTCAGAATATCAAAGATTAAATATCCAGAAGAGGTATAGTATAAAGAGAGTGCCACCTGACACAGACATTCTGTGCACATGTGAAAGGTGCCATGCTGTGACCCAGCTGGGGAGGGTCCACAGTGTCCCTGTTGCAGCCTGGATGACTAAAGCATGAAGGTACTGACTGGTTCCAGGGAAAGAAATCAGTTATGGGAAAATTTGAACAAATAACTTCAACGTGGAGAATTATAACAAAGATTGAACTTCCAGTAGGATGGCCCTGCACCCTGATTTGTCAGGGAGTGAAGTCCTTTCCAAGGCCTGGCATGTTCAGGGCTGCAGCGGGGAGAGTTCTTGTATCCCGGGCTAAGGAGGTCACTGCACCAGGTCTTATAACACCTAAGCCCAGCTTCGTTCAACAGTCAGAGAATTCCTGGCCTGATAGTTATGTGTATTTGTACTTAGTGATTCCTTGTAACTGGGATTACAGCTGGAAATGAGTTGGATCTTCATGAAAATCCCATACTTTGAGGATCCATGAGGAATGGGGCCACATCCAACAGGCATCTTGAAGAACCAAAGAGCCATTTGGAAAGATCCCATGTGATGGGATGGCAGCTCCCGTGCAGGGAGCTTCCAGGAGAATCCTTCAGGTACTGAGTTGGGGGCAATTCTGAGAGCACAGGATCTCAAGTTTCCATCTCAAAACTTCCTTGCTTATGGGAAATATTAGGAGCACAACAGGAAAGAAAAGAAAAAAGAAAAAAAAAGGTCCTTTATTCTCATTCCCACCTCATTGGTGGAGAACCGAACCCAGGTGGATCTTCCAGGCGTGGAGGCCACGGGATTTAAAGTGGGGACTTCCCAGGGGACTGTGGGAAATCTGCCCAACAGGTAGAGCAGGGGCCTCCCCGTGGCTGCNCCTGGCTGTCACAGCGAAGGGTTTCAAATGAGTGGCCTTCTGGATCCACAAAACAAAGCAAGGAAAATAAACCAGAGAGAGTTTCTTTTGGGATTTCATGTGAGAGAGGAGAAGCCCTGAAAACAACAAAAGTGCATCCTCAAAGCTTTGGGGAGGAGAGAGGAGCAGACAGAGATTGAATTCTCCAGGCCATGGTGCCTGAGCCCCCTGCACAGGGTTGAGAAGCATCTTCAGAGCAACAGGGAGCCTGTGAGCACAGGGCAGCTTTTGGTCTCACTTCCCCATGAACTTGAGTCACTGTGCAAAGTGCCACTGCTGCTATATGAGCAACAGTAATAATCGGCCTCGTCGTCAGCCTGGAGCCCAGAGATGGTCAGGGTGGCCGTGTTGCCAGACTTGGAGCCAGAGAAGCGCTCAGGGATTCCTGAGGGCCGTTTATTTACCTCATAAATCAGGAGTTTAGGGGCTGTGCCTGGGCGCTGTTGGTACCAGGATACGAGGTTATATCCCCCAATGTCATTGCTGCTTCCAGCACAGGAGATGGTGACCGACTTTCCAAGTGAGTCAGACACGGAGGAAGGCTGAGTCAGGGGAGACTGGGCCCAGGACCCTGAAAGAGCAAAAACACACTCTGGTGAGTTCAGTGCTGGGCCCCGGGTGAGCCTGAGGGGGAGGCAAAGGATCAGCCCAGACGCCCCATTTCCCTTCCCTGGAGGCCTCACCTGAGCCCTGAGTGAGGAGCGTGAGGAGGAGCAGAGCCCAGGCCATAGCAGAGATGCCCCAAGAGTGCTGCCTTCTGAGACCCCAACCCTGAGCCTGGCTCCCCCAGGCCTCTCTTATCCCCACCCCTGCCTCAGGGGTGGGCGTGGCCTCCATGCAAATCTGCTTCCTGCACCTGCCTCTCCTCACCCCACCCTGGCTTGACCTGGAGTCTAGATATACGTGCAACCCTGGAAAGAAGAGCTTTCTCAAGAATTAAACTTGCCCTGGCCAGGTATCTTAGCTGGTTAGAGCTCCACCCCAGTGTGCCAATGTGGGTTCTATCCCCTGTCATGCATGTCCAAGAATCAACCAGTGAATGCATAAGTAAGTGGAACAACAAATTGATGAATGTCTCTCTTTCCCTCCCTCACTCTCTCCCCCTCTCTCTAAAATCAATAAATAAAATTTTAAAAAAAGAAGCAAACTCTTTAACATGTTCTAAGTAAGATCAGGCTGAGCTCAGGACAGCGTGCAGAAATGAAGCCAGCCCGGGGGATACCTACCTTTTCTGTTGTGGGAGTCATGGTGGTTCCGGGGTGAGACATCCCAGGACTTCCCCTCTGCGTTGTATGGGCAGAGGTGAGGACAGGGTCCCAGGCTGGCTACAAAGATCCAATTGCTCCATTTCTCAGGTGTTGATGGCAGAGCTGGGGACTGCATATTGCCCTCAACTCCTTATTTCCCTTAATTAGGATGGTCCTCCACATGGCTCCATCCTGTCTCTTCAGTGATTTGAGACTGAAGCCCAATGCTGAGCCCTTAGACATATTAGCCCTTTTAAAATATGATTTATTGGACACAACTGTTTTGGGACACAAGGGGCTCAGAGGGAAGCAGTGCTTCAAAGTTCAGCCTGGGATAGCATAAACCATAGCAAATATGTTCCCCAGGCCCTTGCTGCCCCCTGGTGGCCTAAGGTGGTGCATCCCAAGCACCCGGGAAAGCAGCTGAGTGGGAGCAGGAAATCCCCGTTTGCTTCCTTCTCACCTTCTGTCCTTCCCCGTTCAGCTCAGTACCAGGCCCCCTGATCCCTCCTATTTCCCTCTAAGCCCATTCCCCTTTACTTTCCCTTTACTAGTCCATTAACTTCCTCTAGAATGGAATGTGTCACCTGCCACACCAGAGGCGCAGATGCTCATCTCAGGACTATTTAGCATGTCCCACCATAGACTTGGTGCAAAGTTATTGCTTGTGAAGCAGCTCTTGGCTCAAGGCTGAGCAAACATTAAATAAAACCAACTTAAATAAGAAGACTGGGTGAGAAACATGGAGCCTTGGTTGTTTAAAACCACTGTATTTGTGGCAATTTGTGACATAGCAACAGAAAATTAATGCCCGGATCATCTGGGTCACTTTGGTTTGACCCAGGTGGGGACAAGGTAAGAGGGAGACCTGGGTCGCCGAGTACAGGAGTACATGAACCCACACTGAGGTACAGTGGGACATCTTACGTTGAGGTGGCCCTTGTGCTGAGGTGAACTGAGCATACTGCTCTTCCCCCCATTTTGCCACTGAAGGGAGAGAGTGAATTCCCATTCCAAGGCCACCACACAGAGGAAAAAAGGAGCTTTTATTTTCATTTTTCAAAAGCATATGCCCTGGGAGACTATTTCTCTTTCCCACATCTTAAAAAAGAGTACCAGGAATTGCATGGGATGCCATTCCTAAGGCACTTACACCCCTGGAGCGATGAGCAGAAAGGACACCAGACACCACAGTCTGACTGCCTGGCTGGCGTGGAGCTCCAGACACTGAGGGCTCACAGCAGGTTTTGTCTCAGTTCCTCGTGGACTTGGAGAACCATAAGTAAAAGTCATGACTGTCCCAGGACAGTCAGTGATAATCAGCCTCTTCCTCAGGCTGGAGTCCAGAGGTAGTCAATGAGGCTATGTCGCCAGACCTGGAGCCTGAGAATTAAGCTGCAAGCCCTGAGGACAGAGAACTGACAGCATCAATCAGGAGTGTGGGGGTAGTTCCCAGACATAGCTGGTACCAGGAGACAGGGTTATAAATTCCCATGTGGCTGCTTTTTCCAGTGCAGGAGACCGTGGCAGTTCGCCTCAGACACTCAGAAGCTGGGTTGGGGCAGGCTGGGCCCAGGACCTGGAAAAAAGGGAGAAATACAGAGAGGGATGACTCAGGTGAACTTGGAAGGGACAGAGAGAAGAATCAGTCCAGGAACCCACATCACCTCTTCCCTGGGGACTGTCACCTGTGCTGAGTGAGGAGCAAGAGGGGAGTGGAACCCAGGCCATGGTGGAGACATCTCAGAGCTCTGCCTCCTGAAACTCTGGCACTTGTAAAGGACACTCAAGCCCCTCTTGTCCCCTCCCCAGGTTCTAAGGTGCAGGAGGGAACTCATGCAAATTTGCTCCTGAGTTTTGAGGATTCTAAGTTCTTTCGTTCCACAGTCTGAGGCTTAGCACCCAGGAGAGCATGTAGACACCCTGTTCCAGGCAGGACTAGTGGCGCAGCCTAAGTCTTCTTCCTAAGAAGTTGCTTTGAGGCTGGTCCAAGGTTCTGGAGCTCTGGAAGCACCACCTGTTAGTGAGCAGCTGGCCTTCTGGTGCGTTCTGCTCTCCACACACCTAGCCTCTTTCCCAACCCTTACACACCTGGGGAGGGTCCTACCCTCTGCAAGCCCAGTCTCTCGGAGGCCTGAATCTGGGATGAAAGGATGCTGCCTGCTGCCTGAGCATTCCTGCCTTTCCTTCTGGGCTCATTCATAGCTACCCCAAAAGAATTTTCAAAAGTGGTGTTTCACCCACATCAGGACACACAGCCTCGGGAGCGCACACCAGCCACCCTGATTCTCTCCAAGACCTTTCACATCAGCTTAATCCTGCAGCAGGCTGGGGGGCCAGAGGCCATTTCTGGCGCATGTTATTAAATCAGAAGCCAACTGTGCACTGGGTGTCATGGAAGCACAACTCAGAGAAGCCCCACTCTGGGGGCAAGGAGCCCCACGCCAGGACTCCACAGCCCCAAATTCCTTCCTGATTCGTCCACTCTGCTTTGGACCAGTGGCTTGTCCTTTCTCACCTCAGTCTGCCTGCCTTTGAAAAAAACTTAAGACAGCATTAAAGTTCACAGCACACTTTAATGAGTCTCACTAGAAAATCAAAAGGCTAAGTTTCCATTAATTGGTAAGCACTCTGTGACTTTTATCCCAAGTCAAGCATGGTTAGGCTGAGAATCCAGGTTTTTTCTCCTTCAGGCTTACTTTAGGTGATCATAGAAAAATGTCTTTTCCTCTTTCAGTTCATCTCTCTCTCTCTCGCCCTCTCAGGTCAGCTGAGACCCAGCCTCTCTCAGCTGCGCACACACACAAATACTCCTTCAAAAGCATCCCCCCCTCCCTTTCTTCTCTCTCTGAAGGTTTTTAAAGTCTCCATGGTGATCACTATAATGCAGTGCAGGTGGAATGAATTTTTTAATATTTCCAAGATGAAAATAGCTCTATTTTCATCACTAGCCAAGGAAAAACAATTATGATAGAAAACGTTTAAAAAATACGGGAAAGTATTTTACGATAACCAGCATTATCATTTTAGTGACCATCTTTTGGACATGTTGACCTGCTTATCTAAGATGTTCACAAATATGAATTACATATATCCCAGGAGGGTGGTGCCCTGGAACTTTCAGTCCCTCTCCCATATCCAGGCCTAGTATGGCCCAGGAATATGATAAACATTGTGAAGCATTGAAGCAATGAAATAAGTGAATGTTATATTCCATGTTTATATTTTATAATGTTATATTCCAATGGTATAGTTCATGTTTAATTTTACATGAAGAGGGTTGCATTATATAACCAGTCTGGTGACCTGCATTTTGCTTTCAAATATTACAGCGCTCATCTTTTTAGTGTCTCTATCTCAGCGAGTATGACAAGCAGCCAGAGCATGAAAATAAGGACGGATAATCTTCAAATGGATTCCCTTTTCATTTCACATCCCACAGGCACATCCGCTGCTTCCCTCCCGGTCACTCTCACCACCCTCTCCTCTGCCCCAGTCTCTTTTACCTTGTCAAGTTGGTCAAGCACTTTCCTCTCTCAGGATTTGTGTGGCCTGTCCTCAGGCCCAGAACAGGATCCTCTCAAGCCCCCCAGTGGCTGCTTCTTGCTCAGGCCTCAGACAGGAGTCTGCCTGCCTTTGGAACTTTCCATACCAGCCCCTTTCTATTCTTCAGAGAATTAATTGCAAGTCGCCGCTTTAAGACAGTTGTTTTCTTGGGGTTTTTTCGNCCCTTTCTATTCTTCAGAGAATTAATTGCAAGTCGCCGCTTTAAGACAGTGGTTTTCTTGGGGTTTTTCATGGGTTTCTTTTTTTCTATTTTTCACCCTAAACCTTGTGATGGAGAGACTGTGTGTATCTCTGAGCATTGCATTAGCAGCCACTCAAGGACAAATATTTACAGAATGAGTCTAGAGGAAAGGAGGGAGGGGAAGGCTGAACCTCCAGTTCCAAGGTAAAAAAAACTGAGTTTTAATCAGCTCTGTTCTAGGTGACAGTCTCAGATCCACTGAGGATCAATGCAATGACCTCATGTGTACTCATTCGTTCATTCATTCATTCATCTCTGTAGCTGGAAATCTTAAACTCTGCTAGTTCATAGTCAGGGGGGATGTGTCTGGAGGAATGGCAGGGTGGAGCCACAAAAAATATCCAGCTTTGCCACCCTGCCTGTTACTCTCAGCCACCACGGCCTTCCTATAGCCTGTGGCAAAGAGATTCAGGGTCACTTGGATGAGAGGGACACAGTGCCCACTGCCCACTACCCCTTTCAGAAAAAAAAATCTTCACAGTTTGAGAAGGCTGAATATTTCCCAGGTCTGAGAGAGGTAGCTGATTTCGAAAGACCCCAAGGAGACCCCTCAGGCGCCCGCTCGAATGACAAGACGGGGCTGGGGCCTCCGCTTTGCGCGTAACCTCCCCCTCGCTCCTCACCCGGGAAGGAGGCCTCCAGAAGCCCCACTTTTCTCCCCTAACGACACTAGCGAAAAGGGGGCACCAAAGCCTGACCCGCGGAG